TAATCAGCACTCCTTACAAGCTAATTATTGGATAAGGTTAAAAATTCAATGACAACTGATGACTCTTGGTACTAGGCAGATTCTGACTTGTATTTTTACTATCTTGTTCCTGTGTTTACATATGTCGTAGTGCATCGTGATTCTTAGTCTGTTTTGAGATATTTAATTCAGTCATATGTAAGTTTACCCAAATGAAACGCTAAAAACAGTAACACAAGCACTTGTCTTAAGTCACTTGGACTATTGCTCATGCATAATGTCGGCCTGTCCGCAATCTCACCTTAACAAACTTCAGATCATTCAAAACAAAGCAGCCAGACTGGTGCTAAATGCCAAGTATAGCTCTGGCATTGACGATATGCACACACGCCTACACTGGTCCACTGTCAAAGAGAGGTTGTACGCAGGAACACTTTCAATGTTCAAGAAATTCTCACAACCAAAAAGCCAGAATCAATCTACAAAAGATTACAGACAGTTAATGATACTCACCAACACAATACACGCCTAGCACATAGGGGGGGCTTCAGACTGCCAAAACCAAGAACAGCCTAAGCCAAACGAACATTTCTGTACCGCTGCACTAAATCATATAACACACTTCCACAACACATCAGACTATCCGCACCTACATCGTTTAAGAAACATATCCGGGAATGGTTGAAAACTGTGGTGGACACCTCCAAACCCTTACAAGCATGGTGGTAGTAGAAATGTAGATATGTAAATATGAATCTTTGTCTACATTTTATTTTTACGACCTCTGGCCTCTCGGTACTACTTGCATGTTGTGTGTGGTTATGTAGTGTGTAGTTAAGCCTTACCATGTTGTGATGAAAGTAGTTTGTAGTCAACGACTCCAGGAAGAATAGTATGTATGGCAACTCATGTCTGTACAAACTAATGGAGATCGGTCTAATAAATAAACAAACAAACCCAAGGACCATGTATAATGTCCTTGGTTTACCTTAACTATTTTTCTTGTGTTTTCAATGCTTGTATGTTGTGTACACAGAGACATAAATTGGTGCATATTGGGTTCGTCTCCAATACTGTAAATGCAGGTACTTTACAGTCCTCGACGGAAGGAAGGATTTGGACTAAGCGATGGGGAGGTGGTGGAACGACTGTGGTCATATCTGCGAAAGTTCAAACCCATCAGCAAGGAGATGACGCCAAGTCACCGGAGTGACCTACTGACAGATGCACTGCTCCACTATAGCAGGAGGAAGGCTGAAGATATGCGTAAGTTATGATTGAATTTGGTCACAAGTGTGTAGGGTATAATGAATTATTGTAATCGTAAAACCTAATTTTACATTGCACAATATTATCCATCAATATCAGCAATATTCATTTATACATTCTTCCCTAATGACATCATTAACTGGGCAAGTGAAAATACCCTTAACAATCTTCATTTTTCCCTTTGTTACTACAGATGTCAGTTTAGCAATGTCTTATGACAAGGCAGTTACGACTTATCAGCTGGCCAAGGATGACCTGGCAAAGATTTTGAACCAGGTACCAGGTAAGACATACAGGTTTTCCCAGTCTTCTACTCACAAAAGTAACCCTTTTTTTCATGCTATGGTATCAGAAGTACCTGAGAGTTCCTTTGTCAAAGGTTAGCTACTTTGCACTTTGAAATGTGTACAAATAGAAATTTGAAGATAAGGCCACACCAATTTAATTTCTTGGTTAACGGATTTTTCTAGAAAAATAATGGAGCAGGCAGGCGGAAAAAAAAATAAAAATAAAAACAGGCCTAGGCATCCTATTATTGCCCAAAATGGTACGATAGGAGCCATGAAGTCAACACACTAGGCTGGTTCAAAATTTAAACAATGAATTTTGAACTTTTAATGATACCATTGCATTGAAAGATGGAATAACTGTAACAACTAGGATGAAAAGGACTGTTTTCAACTGTTCAGGGCACAATATGAGCATTTTGCAGTTGACTCTGGATTTTTATTTTTATTTGCAAATCAGAAAAAAATGAAGCGGCGAATCCGTTAACCAAGAAATTAAATTGGTGTGGCCTAATGTACTAATGTAATCGTAAGAATATAATGTACTAATTGTAAGAAGACAATGTACTAATTGTAAGAATCTCTAAGGAAGGTGGAAGCTACTGAAAGATATGTTGATAATGTTGAAAGATAGCAAGTATCAAACCAGCATGTACTGAGAGATGGTATTTAAACAGTTGCAGTGTCTGAAGAGGATGTGGAGATGTGGAGGCGGAGTGAGCTTGACCTCATTTCACAGAGCAGCCGAAGCAGGCAGAGTTGTGAGTACTGCATTACATGGCTAATGTGATTCATGCATCATTATATAGCAATTCCAGTCAATTGAGGTAGCAGACCTACAGAATTTTTTAAATAACTGGTAACTAGAGATTTCAGTTTATTAGAAAAAACAAATTGATCTACTATTGATATATTATAATATACATGTACTTAGCTGTGAACAGGACATTTACCTTACATTGTAAGTCATCAAGAAAAAAACTGGAGCGCTCCTTGATTTCCAATTTGTTTGTTTCTGCTTTATTATTATTAGCGTCTGTGACTCCATGGAAAAAGACGTACACACTGGAACTGTCTGCCTTCTACTCTGTAAGGTAAGAGAGAAATGTAATCCAGTTTGACCAGATTCCAAACAAAGTGTACTGCTGTTCCTATCATTTGCAAATAAGGTTAAGTGATAGTTTCCACAAAACATTTTAACTCCTACAAGTATTAGGAGAGTAAGATTCTCAGAGTTTACTTAAAAAAGCCTTTACTTTAAAGATCAACCCATATGAACTCTTATGTATGTTGTATGGCAGGGATGAGATGCAGTCATGTACTGATGGAATCCTTCGGTCAGCATTGGTGAAACAGTATAAAGAGTAAGTGATACACATTTTCCTATGATGAAGCCCCTGAAGCTTACTAGTATTTGGTATTGTTATTTATACTTACTGGTATGTATGCATTTAGCCCCATGGGCATGAACATGCTTCAGATATTTTCTGATTAAATGAAACATGGCTGTAACTGCTGCAAAAACTGTAGTTAGACAGGTGTAGTTACATGGCAAATACATGTCATATTGTTTCAGATGATTTTTTTTAGTTTCATCATACTGAAATACATGTAGTTGTACTACTCAATGTTTTCTTCAAAACCTTCCAGACCAAATTACATTTAAAAGAAAAATTGTGTGATTCCAAACCTCTGGCTAGTGTGTAATGCATAATGTTCACATCCTACTGTGAGTTACAGCTGTGAACACACAAACAGAGATAAAAAGTAATCCTCTGTGTAAAGTCAGTTTCACATGTAAGATTTTCAAGAGTCAAGACACTTTAACCTGAATACAAACACAGAAAAACAACTAATTACTCCTCTCTCTCTACAAACTTGTGTTTTTATTACTGTTTCTTAAATCGTCAGCTAGTCTTCATAAAACACAATTTTTTATGTTTAGACTAGAACAAAAGCTGGAGTGTACAGAAAGAAAACACAAAGTCCATCGATGGGAAGAACACCACGATGAGTACAAGTCTACCCTTCGCCTCATTGACCAGGAGGAGAGAAAGTCTCTGGTGGACAAACTCTGGCGAGAAGCAGCAGAGAGGACGTTCCTTCTCTCACTGAAGAAGAAGTACCCAGGTTAGTTCTACTTAACCATGAGGGAGGACACTTCAGATTGGCAACATTTGCAATTTTGTTTTCATGGACAAGGTGTTTATATTTATTTCTGCCATTTAATGTGCATAATACACTAAATTAATATGTATTTGAGGTTGAATTGTCATGTACCTATATTTCCTCCAGATGGCCAGGCCATAGCCACGAAATTGGGTCGACAACTGAAGACGGTCAACAACAAGCTGAAGAAGACGATCTCCAAGTACAACAGTATTGGCCGATCCCCACAAGATTCAGTCTTCCCAGAAGCAATCAACTTTGTGGATGCCTGCCAGCCTACCTGGCAATGCTACACACAGCTGGATTTGTTGGTGAGTTTGTCTAAAAGATATTGTCTCACCCATACATCAGGTGTAAATGATGTAGGAGTCTGCTTGGATTTACAACTCATTGATATGGCTATATATTGCTTAAAGGGAAAAACCTGGAAGCCCTATTAGAAAGTCAGCCTTTTATAGTGCTATCATCAACATGCTGCCATCTTTTGTTATCAGTAAGCCATTGTCATACACAAATTTATATGTTATTCACATCTGGGTCTGACTGCCAAAATACAATCACTTAATACTGTTTTGCTATGTTATTTGTCCTCAGGAGGCGGGTGCTGTCCCAAGATCTGTAAAGAGGCAGGCAATTGAGGCACTGTGCCTAAAGAAAAGTGCTGAGAAAGAACTCTGGATGACCTGCCAGGATATGCGGCGACTCCTAGGAACTGGAAAGAGAGAGCTAGGAGTGATTGATGAAGCATTGGAAGCACATAGAGCTACTGATAATGTGGGGGCAGTGGCAATGCTGTTACGAAAGCGAGATACAATAGAAAGCCGTCTGGACTATGCCCACAAGTTACTGGAGACTAAAAATCCAGACCTTCCAGAGCTCCATTGTGTACCTGCAAGGGGCAATGCTGAGTCAGACATGTCTACTGAGTATGAATACCTCATAGACAGTGAATCAGATGGAGAGGATGATGATGGTCAGGTGTAATGATAATAATGATAACAGAAACAATACTGAAAATGCAACAGTTCAGCTACTAAGAGATGATAGTATGTATAGTTACTTTACACTTTAGTATGCAATGAGTATTCATCATAATTGTTTCTGTGTACACACTGTTTATATATATACATGTGTATACTAACTAGTATTTATGATAGGTGTTACTCCATGGAGTTTCTGGGTATTTCTCATGTCTGATTGCCAGTCTGTTTACAGACTGTTTTATGTATCTATAAGTATTACTCCAAGGAGTAGTACACACTGTTTATTTCTCATTTGTTTTTCCAGTCTGTTTAAAGACTGTCTAAGTAACCCATATGCTCTTTTAGGCTTTCATGGACAACACAACATAGGAAATGGGTACAGTTTGCCATTTTGCACAATAAAGTTGATACATGATGAACGAAGCTTATATTACTGTTGTCTGAAATGAAGTTCAATCAGTTATTGGCTTTCAGGATAGTCCTAGCACATTTAACAACTTGAGTAGTAGCTTGAGTAACTTGTGTAGTCTTTGTTGTTTGTCTGATTTGCCTTGTCAAAAAATAAAGATTTAAGTTCGGAATCAACTGCAAAATGCTCAATGAAAGACATATTTTGATTATAATCCAGCCTGGTTGTTGACGACATGACTTAGATCATAACACTTCTGGCCTTCATAGGGTGCCCAGGCCTGTTTTTTTTCTTTTTCTTTCGCCCTGTCGCTTCATATTTTTTCTGAAGAAATCTGAGAAACAACAATTTAAATTGGTGTGGCCTAAGGATGGACTTCATCATCACGGTTAAGGACTTGGTTAAGTCAAGACATGTTAAAGATAAAGCCTGTCTCAAGTTCTGTGCCAACTTGAGCGAAATACAAAGCAAAATTAGGTTATATTTATGTATTTCGCACAAAAAAAGAAGATACAATTAGTGAAATAAATTAAATCAAAAACACTGTGCAGGAGAGAAAGAAGCCTTAAAGGCTTGTACAAGCCCTTCTCCTTAAACATAACAAAACAATCGCACTTAAACTGATTAACTGAAATACTTAAATGAAAATCAAGGCAACTGAAGAGAAAATAACAAATCGTACATACGTGACTATTATACAGTCAAAAACAAAATTATAGCAAGATAAACTAATGAAGAAGATATTAAGCAACACTTGAATAAATCAAACCAAGAAGTAATGGCAGGATCTTTGCTTGTTGAAATGACATTTACTGTTTACAATCCCAAAGTTTGTTAGTATAGTTAAATGTAACTACATGAAATGAACACCTGTACATAAAATTGTGTATTTGAAAAGTATGTATACATCAGAGACATGACTTCACATCTCTCTAAATATGTCTCGGAAAAAGTGAACCAAATGTTTTTTATGTTTAGATATGAAGATTAGGTCCTTAAGTTACTTTGCTCATAACGTTTGTGCAACCACATGCTGCTGGAGCAAATGTAATGCGGTAATTTTAATAAACATGTTTAAATGTATCAAATCAAATGTATCATTGCATGCATAATGCATTAGTCGTCGCCCAAAGTTGAATGACACCTATTATTACATACATTAAAAATGGAGGTAGTATTTTTCTTGTGTGTGTCGTTCAGTTAGCAATAAGACCTTAGTAAGACTTAATTACAAACAACATATTAGAAGTACTGCCATGAATAATTGTATCGTAATCAACTTTCCTTGTGTTCAGCAAAGCTATTTGATAAGCAGTGGTATACGTATCAGCCAAACTTGAAAGACGCTGCTATTCCAGCTGAGATATGAAAAACCAAAACGTCTTGGACGCACGCAAAACGAGCCCGCATTCCGACGTAATGTTCCTTTGCTGCACTTTCACAATAAATCGCAAGGGTACACAAACTTGTTTTTAAGGTGTTTGAAAGATGGAAATGTGATGCCATGGCAAGACTAACCTTAAAACGTGTGTTTAACGTGATTATCAGGTAATTCTATTGAAAAATTTGCCGGAATTCCTCTGAAACATTACATGCTGCACTTTTTACACGAATCGCTAGGGCATTTTAAAAACTTTTTTAACGGGTTTTCGTATAATAACTAAAAAAACAGTATGGGACACGATCCAATTTACCCTGTTTAAAGTTACAAAGTATTGTGGGCTATCTGATTTCAAAATCTGGTGTACCTGCATTGTTTTGAACACTGATTTACGTGGCTCTAAAATGTTCTTAAAACCGGCGCTACTAACTACATTTGCGCCCGACAGAATTTCAAGACAGGTTAATGCGCTATATGTCCACAGAGGGTAAAGGAAGAGCAAATCGATTAAAAGCACAGCTAGGTAGGTATATCAGCCTAGTATTGTGTAAGTTTCATGCAGATATGTGAGATCCTTCTTGTTTTATGAAGGAAAGCGCACTTCTGTGAGATGCGACCTATAATCGTCTGTGAGAAACACAGGGACAATTGCAACGCCTTGCCACAACAGCGGATCGAGTTCATAGATCGCTTATAATTCAACGCATTTCTATCAAATTTCACTGACTAATTCGTGGGTGCTTTCATAGTCGACACAAACATTTCTATGCCGAAGCCACGATTCATTGTTAAGTCATCATCATTTAAGGTTTTGGCGATTAAGTCGTATTTCTTGCCTCAGATGAACAAAGTATGTTTCTAGGACAAACGAGGTGCAGACCTAATGTTATGAATGTAGGTACTATCATTCTGCATACCACCTGCAAAGTTAGCTCAATGATATTTGTCATCTTTGGGGTGGTATCTCATTTCTTCCCGAAAACCTGCCTTGACCTCAGGAGAACAAGAAGAACAACCAGATGCACATCTGAAGTCAAGGAACCAACTGCATGCACCGGCCCGGTATCACATTTTTTTTAATAAATTGACATAATTATGCTACCAAGATGCATATATGCTGTCAGGGAAGTATGTCGAAATCAAGAAGGTTAGTTTGGAGGAATTTCGTCATCATTTCGCGATATTCAAATTTTGTGCGAAAAATTCTATTTTGCCCTTAATTGATGAAATTATGCCATTTTGAGAAACGAAATGCATATATGCTGTCAGGGAAGTATGCCAAATGCAGAAAAGTTCATTTGGAGGAATTTCGTCATCATTTCGCGATATTCAAATTTGGTGCGAAAAATGGTATTTTGCCCTTAATTGATGAAATTATGTTATTTTGAGAAACAAACTGCAGATATGCTGTCCGGGAAGTATGCCAAATGCAGAAAAGTTGGTTTGGAGGAATTTCGTCGTTGTTTTGCGATATTCAAATTTTGTGCGAAAAAGGTATTTTGCCCTTAATTGATGAAATTATGTTATTTTGAGAAACAAACTGCATATATGCTGTCAGGCAAGTATGCCAAATGCAGAAAAGTTGGTTTGGAGGAATTTCGTCATTGTTTTGCGATATTCAAATTTTGTGCGAAAAAAGGTATTTTGCCCTTAATTGATGAAATTATGTTATTTTGAGAAACAAACTGCATATATGCTGTCAGGGAAGTATGTTGAAACATGATCAAGCTAGCACTATTATGATGATGGTGAAAAGATATGAGCCTATATGTTTAAGGATCAGAGGTTTGTCTCAGTTCATTAGAGAAGTAAACTTGTCTGTGTTACTTACATGTAGGTGTATAAAGTGGGGGAAACATCTATGTTATCGGTCTGTAAAGGTGACAATTCTGTCACAATTGTACAGACAACATTTTACTACAAAATCGTGTTACAGTATCGACAAGTCCGTTGTTCCAGGGGACTACGGTTATGTCATCCGGTTATAGTTACTGTTCCTTGGTGACAACTGAGTCACATAAAGGATAACCATACCTACTCTCCAAGGAGACGTTTGGCTTATTTTTGTGTTTTTATGCTTTTTTTATCGGGGGTTCTTTTTTGCACTGGAATATTTTATGGCAACCTAGAAAACCCAAACCTCTGCTTGGAGAACCATACCCTGTTTACCTAACCTATTTTAGCTTACCGAATCTTCTTTGTCCTCACTGCAATTCTATTTGACAAATACCCATATGACCATTTGTTATATGATTCCCACACACTACTAATGGAGATCCCAAACAAACAACAACAGCCCACACACTCACGAGTCACGACACTGCTCTGAAACTGTTGCCTTGCTTGAATATTAGACACGTTCCGTTACGCAGTGTGATAGCAAATTCTATGTAACTGTTATATATGATCTCCAAGCTAGACCTTTTCTGGTGGCTGCAAAATTTGTAATAGTTAGAATGCAAAGACAGTATCATCCATTTGCCACCCTAAGCAGGCGAAAAAAGATACCAGAACAAAAAGTAAAGCCTGAGTAAAAACGCCCAAAAGCACGCAAAAGTAGCAAGCTGTATGAATTGTTGCAACTGGCTGTGCTATCACCCGCCGCATCTACTAGACTCAAATAAGGTATCTTTTCCCCCAAAGTGTACGGAAGCTAGCCTCTACCAGGCTCCGCGGATCGCTGGAAAAATACATGTAGTAGAAATTGGCCGAAATAAAGGGATAGTACAACAGAGAAGATCCAGCCGGCCATAGAAGCTCCAATTTGCGACCCACGGGTGTACTATCCCTTTATTTCGGCAAATTTCTACTATTTTTCCAGCGATCCGCGGAGCCTGGTAGAGGCTAGTTTCTTACAACAAGCGTAGCAAGTCGACCTTTATTTGACTTGAAGGCGGCCATCGTTATCTTCTGACCTCGGATGAACCAGTGGATTATCCATCCGTGTGTGTTCTGAGAGTGAAGATATATCAGCCTCCGCCGACGTGACACAGATGGTCACATATTCTTTACGACGCGACGCGCTACATGACTGCTGTGACTAGTACTTAGGCCACACCATTTTTTATATTTCAGTCCATACCATGGTATGGATGAAATATATTGTGTTCTCTGATGTTTCTTCTTCTCCTCCTCCTCCTCCTGCCACACAGTCAAAGGGATTCAACTCAGCCATCATTCAGCCAAATGACTTGAAATTTGGCATGGAGGTAGAGTGGGCCAATACCCCCAGGCGTTTTTTTCATTTTTTTGATACACGCCTTTGAAAATTTTTTATGAAGGTTTTTTGGGGCATTTTTCGCCAAAAAATGGATTTTTGGATCCTGATCCCTGGTTTTACAACCAAATGATCTGAAATTCGGTATAAGGGTACCTTGAACATGTGTCTACAGAATAGCAGTCACATATTTGGCATACACCACTTCCAAATGACTCATTTGGGGGACTTCAATGGCTATTTTCAGCAAAAAAAGGGCCAAAAGTGCTGTACCCGTTCCATGTTCTATCTAAAGAATGGCCGGTTCCATCCATGGAACACGTGTTCCATTGCGGTTACCTGAGGTCACATTGCACC